CATTCTGTCTGAAACCACACTGCCAACTGCAGTCGGTCACCTCGCGAGGACGAGCACTGCACACACAAACTGCACACACACCTGTGCTGGATTCTCTGCTTGGGCATCTGCTCATTTCTTCATATTCTCAGCTACAAAGGTCCAAGCAACCCAAGGAATCCTTAAAACTCAAAGCTCAGAAAGAACTTCACCTAAAATACATAGATATGCGTTTGCTCTCCTGGTGCCGATTTCCTCCTTCTTTATGTCACTCGACATCGCTGCTCCCTCCGAGTCCCAGTCAGTGAGCACTTCGCAGCCAACATCTCCTGAAATATTGCAGTTGATGCAACCAAGTCCAGCTGAACGTTGCCCTAAAGATGTTTCCATCATTCACATTCCTCCCCTCCCCCCTAAAAAAAGCCCTCGATTCGTCCATCTCTACTTAACATTGAAGATAAATGCACCGCCGCATCCTAGATGGTATTTGGATTAAAACATCAACAGAACCACTCGGGGTTTCTTTTCTGTTTGCCTTTGTCCAGGAGAGGAGGAAAAAAGAGCCCTTGACTGCTGCATCCACAGCACTCAGCACCAAACGAATGCACTCCGAAGGTAATTTGGGCTGTGGGAATGCATGACCTGACAGCTCCTCACGGAGGGGGGGGAGGAGGGGGAGAAAGAAAGAGAGGAAACTGTATATAAACCAGAATAAAACCCAGCCCAGCACAAAACCTTGTCTGAATATTATGTCACCGCTCTGTGCTGCACGCAGGGCTGACGCTGAGCACCTCTGTGGCACCACCAACCCACACCGAGCTGCCCTGCAAAACCGCAGTGCTGCCAATCACGAAGCATTAAAGCAACGGTTGGGAAAAAAATGGCAATAACTTCCCCAAGATCAAACACAGCCCGCATCTCACAGCCTCAAGGCTCCACGCTGCCACCCCAGATCCCATCAGTGCCATTTCCACCAAAGTTCCATGAAGGCTTCGGCAGCGTTCGCCGCTCTCCAAGGCATAAAACCCCTTCCTTGCAGTGCTCCCTTCTGCACCCACAGCCTGCAGAGCTGCACACACACGGAGGGAAATCATCATCGACATGCAGAAGCACGGACCTGAGAACTCGATTTCCTTTCCGGCACGAGAAGAAAAAGGTGAAACTTGGCTTGGAGCTCACGTTTAGGAGTTCCCTGCAGGGCGCAGAGCCCCACCGAGGGGCTCCCGAAGCCGCTGCCCAGCTCCTCCTCACCCCTCATTGCCCCCCAATCATCACACCGCACAACGTGGCCTCTCGCCAAAATCTTTAGGGGGGGGAGGTGAACGCGTTTCTCCTTCGGGGCTTGAAAACAAACCCCCCTCCACAAAGGCTTAAGGAGGGTAACAAGGGCCGGACCTTTCCGTGTCCCCTCCGGCATCCCCTGCTTTGTGCCCTCTGTCCCCTCGCAGCCCCAAGCAGTGCCACCCCGACCCCCCCCCTCCACCCCCCCACAGCAGCCCAGCCCTGCTGGCCCCAATTTGTCCCCATTCTCTCCCATTCCGTCCCATTCTGACAGCCCTCCCAGCCCACCCCAATTCCTCTCACAGCCCCCCACCCCCTGCCCCCCCCCCCCCCCAAACCTCACCTCAACCCCCCACCCCGTCCCCTCACCGCCTTTCCCCCATCTCAGCCCCAACCCCCGCCCCCCGCCATCACCTCTCATCACCTCATTCTCCCCCCCCAACACCTGTCCCCATCCCCCCCCCTTTCTCCCCCTCCTCACCACATCCGAGCCCTCAGCTCCATCTCCCCCCATCTCCCCCCCCTCACCTCATCTTTCAGCCCCCCCCCCCCCCGCCCTCTCACGTTCTGCCCCCCGCCCCCAAAGCCCAGCGGCGGGACGCCCCCCCCCCCAACCTGCGGCTCCTCAGACGGCGGCGGCGGCGTCCCCTCAGCCGTAACGGCTCTCCCCACCGGAGCTGCTCTCCGTCCGCCGGAGCTCTGCCTCAGCCCGCAGCCGCCAGCGAATGGGGGAGGGGGCGGCGGCGGCAGGCGGGGAGCGGGGAGGCGGGGGGGGGGGGGGCACCGCAGCGGGACCGTTACAGCCGCCGCGCGCGGACTACCGCTCCCGGCACGCCCCGCGCGCCGCCCCATCGCACCGCGGCGGCCGCGCGCCGCGAAGCACTCTGGGTAATGAAGTCCTGGCGCGCCGTAGACAGGGCCCGGACCGCCGCTGGGTGGTGCTGGGATGTGTAGGAGCGCACTGCATGCCGGGAGCTGTAGTGCGCCTGCGGCGCCGCGGGGCGTGCCGGGAGTTGTAGTTCGAGAGGCGGGCGGGGGGCGCCTCGCGCGTCCCGAGCCGGGCGGACCGCTTTAGGTCGCCGCTCTGAGTCGCACCGCTCTCAGCCTCGGGTTCGGGGCCGAGCAGCGGAGCCTCGGGGCCGTTCCGAACGGGGCCTGTGAGAAACGGGAAGGCCGGGCTCGGGACACCCCCGTGCGGCGGATGGAGAGCATCGCCCCGAGAGCCGCGGGGAGGATCGGATGTGGGGCGACGGAGCCCCGCGCGGAGCCCGGCGATGTAAATGTCCGCGTCTCTTCGTCAGCTGCACCCGATTGCGACGAGAGAAAAATCAGCCCTGCAAAATGCATCGTTCCCTTCTGCAGAGGGCGCCGGAGCGCTGCGCGGGGCTTCGATGCCGTCCCTTTTGGGGTGGGGGCGCTGCTGCTTTCCCTCGGTCCCAAACGAACGCATTGGGGCAGCGCGGGGCATCGCCAGCCCTGTGAGAACCTGCTGCCATTTCACACAGAGCGTCCGGCCCTCCGTGTCCTGCTGCTGCCAAGGGGACAAATCATTCCGAGCCCTGGGCAGAGCTCAGAGCACATGGAGGAAGAGTGGGAACACGGGAAGGAAGGGAAGCCAGACAGGGAGCGGGGCGGGCTGGAAAAGTGGGAACGTGAGAACGTAATGGGGTGCAACAGGGCCGAGTGCAGGGTGCTGCATCGGGTCGGGGCAAAGCCAGGTATTGACACAGACTGGGGGAAGATGTCCTGGAGAGCAGCCCTGTGGAGAAGGACTGGGGGTCCTGGTGGACGAGGAGCTGGGCATGAGGCAGCAGTGAGCGCCTGCAGCCCGGAATGCAGCCAATGTGTTCTGGGCTGCATGAAAAAGGGGCGGCCAGCAGGGAGAGGGAGGTGATCGTCCCCTCCATCGGCTCTTGTGAGGCCCCATCTGCAGCGCTGCGTCCTGCTGGGGCCCCCAGCACAGGATGGACGTGGAGCTCTGGGAGCGGGTCCACAGGAGGCACTGAGATGAGCAGAGGGCTGGAGCAGCTCTGTGTGAGGAAAGGCTGAGGGAACTGGGCTTGTTTGGCTTGGAGAAGAGAAGGCTGCAGGGAGACCTGATGGTGGCCTTCAGTGCTTGAAGGGAGCTGATGAACAGGAGGGGGAACGGCTGTGTGTGAGGGTGGGTGGTGACAGGACAAGGGGAATGGCTTGAAAGTGAGACAGGGGAGGTTTGGGTTGGATGTGAGGAGGAAGTTTTGGAGGCAGAGGGTGGTGAGGCACTGGCACAGGTTGCCCAAGGAGGCTGTGGATGCCCCATCCCTGCAGGCATTCAAGGCCAGGCTGGATGTGGCTCTGGGCAGCCTGGGCTGCTGCTTGGCGACCTGCACACAGCAGGGCTTGGAGCTGGATGAGCATTGAGCTCCTTTGCAGCCCAGGCCTTTCTGTCATTCTATGATCCCGTGCAAAGCACTGGGTGCAATCACACCAAGGGCCTGGCTGACACCAGCCAACGTTTGAGCCAAAGCCTTGCTCTTCCCCACGGAGATCTTCTTCCTAATTCACTGCGCAACCCCAAGCCCAATTTCAGAGCACGCAGCTCTATCCAAAAGGCACAACACAACTGAGCTGAAACCCAGCATCGTGGATTGATCCAATCCCTTCTGCTGCCCAACACAGCAAAGCCAGCACGGCAGGAAGAAAGGGGAGGAGGGCAGGAGGGGATGGGCTTTGGGTGAACAGCCTGCCGGAATGGATGTGGGTTTTGCATGCAGTGCTGCCCAATGCTTAACCAACATCTGTATCAGCAGCCCAGCCCTGGCTATAAATAACCCCAGTCGGATTTTAAGCCCTGCAATGCCAACCAGCCCCCAGGGATTTCGGGCACTGCTGGGGTTAGCCATAGGGGATGTGTCCCTTCCTGAGCTGCACAGGGCTCCATACGCATCCTGCACATCTGTGAGATGCTCCTTGCATCTGGATTTGCTCACAGCTTGCCCCTCTCTATGCAGTTCCAGGCAGGGTGGCAATGGGGACCTGCTTCCCCAAAACATGCAGTTTTATCCCCTTCCTATCGCAGGTTTTGGCAGAAGGAGCTCAAGTGATGACCCCAAATGCCGTTCTGCAGAGCCAGGGCATTGCTGACCCCTCTCCCTACTTCCTCCTGCCTTATGAACCCCCAAACCTGGTGTTAGATTGGGGGTATCCCCGCAGAAGGTGCTCCCCCTCCCACTGCTCCAGCCCCCAGTGCCAGGATACCACTCAGAGGAGTGAAGCACCTTGACCCCCCCAGCATCCTCTGTGTACCCCATGGCCTCAGGGCTCCCCCGGAAGACCCCAAGCACACAGCATTGGCTTGGAATTTCCATCTGCTTTTTTTTCCCCCCCCCCCCCATTTTTTCCCCCAACCACGAGGCCACTCCATCCGTGTGATGCTGTGTGCATCGCAGGGGGGGATCGGGGCTCCGGGATGGGGGGGACCTTCCGTGCATCCCCACTTTTTGGGGGCTCTCACATTCAGGCAGTGACTCTCAGCCCAACCCTGACCCCAGCCCTGCTCTGTGGGATGGAGGTGATGCTGTGACCCCCTCCGGGACCACGCACCCCATCCCACCCTCAGCATCCTGTGGACCAACAACCCCACGAAGTGCTTCCAGACCTCAAATTACCCCCAAATGGCCATTTTTCCGGAGGGCCCCACAGCTCCTTTAGGATCGTTTCCCTGTGTCGGACTACAGCTCCCAGAGCGCTGTGCGTGCAGCGGGGGACGGGCGGAGGGAACGCGAGCGGGAGCGGAGCGCAGCGGGGATCTGCTGTGCTGCTGTGCACGGTGAGGGGATGGGGAGGGGGGGGTCCGGGGGGCAATGGGGTGAGGAATTCGGGATGGGGTGAGAGGGGGTGGGATGCAGGAGGTGGGGGTGCGGGGGGATGGTGGTACAAAGGGATGGGTGTGCAAGGGAAGTGGGGTATGGGGGGATTGGGGTAAGCAGGAGTTACGGAGGGATGAGGTATGGGGGATGGGTAGAGGGGGGTGAGGGGTACAGTGGATGAAGGTAGCAGGGATTGGGGTACCAGGGGGATGGGAGTAGCGGGGGATGGGGTAGAAGGAGATACGGGGGGTACAAGGGATGGGGTGTAAAGGATGGGGGTACGGGGGGATGGGGGTAGTAGGGATATGGATACAGAGGGATGGGGGTATCAGAGGATGGGGTATAAGGGGATATAGGGGGGTACAAGGGATGGGGATAACGGGGGGGCAAAGGGGGATGGGAGGTATAGAGGGATGGAGGTCCAGGGGGATGGGGGTATGAGGGATGAGGGTACAAAGGGATGGGGGTTACAGAAGGATGGGGGAACAAGGAGAGGGAACGGAGGTATAAAGGGATGGGGTACAGGGGGATGGGGTAAATGGAAAAGGGGCTGCAAGGGATTTGGGTACAGGGGCATGGGGGGATACCAGAGTTGGAGATACGGTGTTTAGGGTACGAGGGGATGGGGTACCAGGAATGGATTAAAAGGGACAGGGTACAAAGGATGGGGGCACAGGGGAGTGGGGTGCAGGGGAGTGGGATGCAGGAGTTACCAGGCATGGGAGCAGCAGGAGATGGGGAGGGCAGCAATGGAGATGCGGGTACTGAACTGGGGGTGTGCGTACGTGGGGAGGTGGGCACTGTGGGGATGGAGCAAACGGTGCCCACAAAGTGGATATGGAGGCAGAAGAGGTGGCGTGGGGGGGGACACGGATAGGAGAGCACCAGATGTGGGTACTGGGGATGTGAGCACAGGAACCCAGAGATGTGAGCAGCAGGTGCTGTGATTTCAATGGGGGGGGTGGGTGGAGGGGGTCACAAAGCCCAGGGGGACACGCTGGGCTTCAGGCAGTGCTGCGGTGTCGGGGTGCCCAGCGATGGGGCCGTTCCTGCTTGGCACTGTGCTGCTGTCACTGCTCGGGGATCCGGGGAGCGATGACTTCATGGCCTCATTAAGGATTAATTTCCATCCAGGCAGGAAAACAAAAAACAAGTGGAAAGTTACCGAGGCCGTGGGCAGGGAGCGCCTGTTTTCATCCGCGTCCCGGATTTCTCCTTTTACCTCCACGGGACGATAATCCCTAAATCCCAACGAGATTAAAGGCACCAAGAAAGGTGGCACAGCCCCTCCCCACCTCAGTGTTTCCCCAGTTATGAAACCCTACGTCTGCACGGCCCCGATTCACCCGGCTGTTTCCCATAGCCCTCCTGCAGCCCCACGGGGAGAAAGTGGGGGCAGCAGGAGCTGCTCTTCTAACCTGGTTCTTTCTGTTCTGTTTTTTTTCCCCTCCCTGCAGCAGAAGGTCCGGAAGCCCTCCTGTGGCCATGGCCCTGGTGAAGAGCGGATGGCTCTGGCGGCAGAGTGAGTGCCAATCCCGATCCCAGCCTCTATGGGGTTCTGTTCCTGAGCTCCACGCTGGGCACCCAAACCCAGGACGCAGTTTGGGGTCACGGAGCTCAGCCACGGATACACATTATGAGGACCCTCCTCCTCCCACCCTATAAGGACTGTGAGATGCCCCAATGGCTTTTCCAGGGATGGATCCAAGAGTTTTGTTAAATCCACGCTGCTGTGGTTCATCCCCAAGCCAGGCACCCTACTGGTTGTGCTGGGGGGGGCAGCGGGACCCCGCTGCGGGTTTTAGGCTCACTCACACCCCTTCATCCATCCCCCCAGGCTCCATCCTGCGCCGTTGGAAGAGGAATTGGTTCGTCCTCTACCTGGATGGCAGCTTGGTTTACTACCACGACGAGACGCAGCGCGACATGGACGGCCGCATCCACATCAAGTACAGCTGTCGCGACGTGCGGACCGGCCGCGAGTGCCGCGGTGAGCGGAGCCCCGCAGCCCCAATCCCTGTGTTCCCACTCGTCCCCGAGCCCCACGTTCCCAAGCTCGGCATCCTCAAGCTCCGTGTCCCCATTCCCTGCACCCCCATATCCCCCAAGCTCTGTGTCCCCACTTGTTGTGCCCCCACTCCTTGTGTATCAGGCTCTGCATCCCCAAGATGGGTCCCCAAGTTGAGTCCCCAGACTCCGCATCCTGTGTCCCCAAGCCCTCTGTTCCCAAGCTCTGCATCCTCAAGCTCTCAGTCCCCACACGCTGTCCCCCAATCCTTGTTGTGCCCAAGCTGTTCTATCTCCAATGCTTACATCCCCCAGCCCTGCTTTCCCAACCCCCGTGTCCCCAAGCTCTTTGTCCCCATGCCTTGTGTCCCCAGCTTCCACATCTCCAATCCTTATGTACCCAAGACTGGCATTCCCAAGCCCTATATCCCCAAACCCTGTGTCCCCAAGCTCCACATCCCCAAGCTCCACATCCCCCAGCTCCATCTCTGCACCGCATCTCCAAGCTTGGAATCCCAAGGTCCCCACGTTCAGCGTCACCAGGATCCACGTCCCCGAGCCCCGTGGCTCTGCGTGGCCGTGTCCACTTCAACCCGTGCCCTTTGCCCACCCAACCCCAAAGGCTGTGCCGCCCTCCCCGCTCCATCCCGCACCGCCTCATCCCCCCCACATCTGTGCCCTCTCCCCTCTTCTTTCCCCACCTCCACTCCGCACTCGTTCCCAGCGCTCCCACGGCTCTGACTCAGCGCTCCGTCTCGCACAAACACAGCAGAGCTCAGCTCAGCCCACGGCGCAGCACAAAGTGCTTTTCTTCACGCCGGGGCCTCCGTGGAGCTCCTGGCAAAATCGGAGTGTGATGGGTTTGGCGTTGGTTCCCTCTCGTGCACCCGTCAGATTTGACACTTCCAATGCAAACTCAGCCCAAAGTAGGAGAGTTGGGGTCGTTTTCTGCTGCGGAGGTGGAAGTTCCTGCTGGCGTTGGTGCCTGACCTTTTGAGTGCAGAGACAAAGAGAAAACCAAAGCCAACTCTGAGCGTGGCTTTTGGGGTGAAAATCCCACCCCATGGGTGGCTTTGGGGACCTCTTGGGTGATTTTGGGGGGCCTCACTGTGTTGGCTTTGGGGATCCCATTGGTTGGCACTGTGCGTTCCCTTGGGTGGCTTTGGGGGCCCCACTGGTTTGGTTTTGAGGATCCCATTGGTTGGCACTGTGGGTCCCCTCAAGGGGCTTTGGGGGGTCCTGAAAGACAACTTTGGGGATCCCCTTGGGTGATTTTGGGAGTCTCACTGGGTTGCTTTGGGGATCCCACTGGTTGGCACTGTGGGTCCCCTCAGGTGGCTTTGGGGATCCTCTTTGGTGGCTTTAGGGGTCCCACTGGGTTGCTTTGAGGGATCCACTGATTTGGCTTTGGGGATCCCACTGGTTTGGTTTTGAGGATCCCATTGGTTGGCACTGTGGGTCCCCTCAGGGGCTTTGGGGGTCCTGAAAGACAACTTTGGGGATCCCCTTGGCTGGTTTTGGGGGCTCCACTGGTTTGGTTTTGGGGATCCCATTGGTTGGCACTGTAAGTCCCCTCAGGTGTCTTTGGGGGTCCCAAAGGACAGCTTTGGGGATCCACTTGGGTTGCTTTGGGGGCCCCACCAGGTTGGCATTGGGGATCCCATTGGTTGGCACTGTGGGTCCCCTCAGGTGGCTTTAGGGGTCCTGAAAGACAACTTTGGGGATCCCCTTGGGTTGCTTTGGGGGTCCCACTGGTTGGCACTGTGGGTCCCCTCAGGTGGCTTTGGGATCCCCTTGGGTTGCTTTGGGGGCTCCACTGGGTTGGCTTTGGGGGTCCCACTGGTTGGCATTGTGGGTCCCCTCAGGGGCTTTCTGGATCCTCTTTGGTGGCTTTCGGGGTCCCACTGGGTTGCTTTGAGGGATCCACTGGGTTGGCATTGGGAATCCCACTGGTTGGCATTGTGTGTCCCCTCAAGGGCTTTGGAGGTCCTGAAAGATAACTTTGGGGATCCCCTTGGGTTGCTTTGGGGGCCCCACCGGGTTGGCATTGGGGATCCCATTGGTTGGCACTGTGGGTCCCCTCAGGTGGCTTTGCGGATCCTCTTTGGTGGCTTTAGGGGTCCCACTGGGTTGCTTTGGGGATCCCACTGGTTGGCACTGTGCATCTCCTCAGGGGGCTTTGTGGATCCTCTTTGGTGGCTTTGGGGATCCCACCGGGTTGTTCTGAGGGATTCACTGGTATGGCTTTGGGGATCCCATTGGTTGGGATTGTGCATCCCCTCAGGTGGCTTTGGGGGTCCTGAAAGACAACTTTGGGGATCCCCTTGGGTTGCTTTGGGGGCCCCACCGGGTTGGTATTGGGGATCCCATCGGTTGGCACTGTGGGTCCCCTCAAGAGGCTTTGGGGGGTCCTGAAAGACAACTTTGGGGATCCCCTTGGGTGGTTTTGGGGGCTCCACTGGGTTGGCTTTGGGGATCCCACTGGTTGGCACTGTGTGTCCCCTCAGGTGGCTTTGGGGATCATCTTTGGTGGCTTTACGAGTCCCACTGGGTTGGCTTTGGGGGATCCACTGATTTGGCTTTGGGGATCCCACTGGTTTGGTTTTGAGGATCCCATTGGTTGGCACTGTGGGTCCCCTCAGGGGCTTTGGGGGTCCTGAAAGACAACTTTGGGGATCCCCTTGGGTGGTTTTGGGGGCTCCACTGGTTTGCTTTTGGGGATCCCATTGGTTGGCACTGTAAGTCCCCTCAGGTGTCTTTGGGGGTCCCAAAGGACAGCTTTGGGGATCCACTTGGGTTGCTTTGGGGGCCCCACCAGGTTGGCATTGGGGATCCCACTGGTTGGCACTGTGTGTCCCCTCAGGTGGCTTTGGGGATCCTCTTTGGTGGCTTTGGGGGTCCCACTGGGTTGCTTTGGGGGATCCACTGGTTTGGCTTTGGGGATCCCATTGGTTGGCATTGTGTGTCCCCTCAAGGGGCTTTGGGGGTCCTGAAAGACAACTTTGGGGATCCCCTTGGGTTGCTTTGGGGGTCCCACTGGTTGGCACTTTGCATCCCCTCAGGGGCTTTGTGGATCCTCTTTGGTGGCTTTGGGGGTCCCACTGGGTTGCTTTGAGGGATCCACTGGGTTGGCATTGGGGATCCCACTGGTTGGCACTGTGGGTCCCCTCAGGTGGCTTTGGGGGTCCTCTCAGATCCCCCTGCTGAGGTTGGCTTTGTCTGTCCCCTTGCAGACGTGCAGCCACCTGAGGGGAAGAGCCGTGAGTGCCTGCTGACCGTCGTGCTGCGCGACGGCTCCAAGACGACGCTGTGTGCTGAGAGTGAGGACGATGCCATGTAAGTGCCTAAAACCCCCAGTAGCTCCAGCCCCCACTATCCCGGCCCCAAAAGCACCTCAGTGGGAAGAAAATCAGATCCTGCTGCCCCCAGCTCCCTCTTGCTGCAAGCTCTGAGGTCATATGCAGGGCAGGGGGTGCAGATTTGCTTTTCTCATTGAATACCTCTGAGCCGAGCAGAGCTATTTTTAAGTATCCTGGATGAGAAACCACCTCTTAGCCAACCACAAAGAACTGTGACAGCATTTCCATCCGCGTTCGTTGATAAATAATGCAAACGTGGAGTGCTAATTGGATTAAGGCCATGCCCAGGATGATGCAACGCCGCTTTTAGCACCGCTCCTCTTTATCTTCAATAGCAAGAAACCTTAAGCTGCTCTTAGACCACAGGGAGATGTTGGAACTGGATGGCCTTTGAGGTCCCTTCCAATCCAAGCTGTTCTATGATTCTGTGTTGAGACACTTGGGATGGGGGGAAACTCACCCATTATCCACCAGTTTGGGGTCACATTCCCACCTCACTCACCCTGAGCCATTCCTGCTGTGCACCCCATCCCCAGCCCTGTGCTAATTGGGAATTAAGGATTAATGCTGGCACGGCTGGAGGGAGGGGGCTGCTGCCCAGCCAAGCCCCCAACTCACTCCCTCTGCTTCCTTCACAGTGCATGGAAGATGGCAGTGCTGGAGGCAAAATCCACCCCGGTGAGGCTTCCCCACCCTCGTGCCTTGAAATAGGGGCATCAGGGGCACCAATGGGAAGAGCTGGGGATGGCAATGGGGACGTAACTGAAGGGGACAGGGGCAGAGTTAAGGTTATGCAGGCAGAGTTATGATGATGGGGAAAGAATTCAGTGTAGGGTGAGAGTTAGTGATGCAGTCACAGTCAAGGGAATGGGGACACAGTGAAGGGAAAGGGGCAGAATTAGGGATATGGTCAGTGGGCATGGTGGGGATGGGTTGGGATTGAGGTTGGGGATCTTGGAGCGTTCTCCCAGCCATAATGATTCTGTGATTCTACAAATTAAGGTGATGGGGACATGGTTAAGGGGATAGGGGCAGAGTTAAGGGCAATGGGGACACAATTAAGGTGAGGGGATGAAGATAAGGTGATAATGGCAGAGTTGAGGTGATGAAGGCAGAGTTGAGGGCAATGGGGACAGGTTGAAGTGATGGGGACAGAGTTAAGGGAGCGGGGACAAATTTCAGAGCAACGGGGGCAGTTATGGGGAGCAGGGGCTGAGTTGAAGAGCTGAGAATGCAGTTAAGGGGGGCCAGGGAAGGAGCTGAGAAGGGCAGAGTTAAGAGGAATGGGGTCAAAGGGAACAGGGGGATGGGTCAGAGTTAGAGTGATGGGGACATAATTAAGGCAATGGGGATGGAGTGAAGGGGAGAAAAGGCAGAGACTGGCCTGAGACTGCTCCCACCACACGCAGGTGCACGTCTATGACCCCTATGATGATGACTACTACCAGACGGTGCCCATCGACTCCCACCAGACCGCCTACATCAGCTCCGGCCACTACGGCCACCAATATGGAGGTGGGTCATTCTCCCCTTCCTTCCCTCTGTGCCATTTGGTGCCGTCCTGGGGACACTGTGTAGATCAGAGCTCCAACCCTGGTCAGACTTGGAGCTATTTCTAGGACACAGCGAGCTGAGACCTTTCAAACTCAGCGCACGGCGGCACTTGGGGTGGTCCATAGGGATGGGGGATAGGCTGGGGGGGGTTGGGAGATTTTTAGGGTTTCTGGGGGGTGGGGGGGGGGAGATGTGACCCCCTCAGGGGATCCCCAGGCCGCCCACCGCCCCCTTTTTGCCTTGCAGCCCCCGGGGTGACCCACGTCATCGTGCGCGAGGATCCCTACCGCGTCTCCGGGGACCAGATGGCCTTGGGGCTGCTGGCTGGGGCCGCCACTGGTGCAGCCCTGGGCTCCTTCATGTGGATGCCATGCTGGTTTTAGTGGATCCTTTGGCTCCCCAGCCCGAAGTAACGCGCCCCTGGCTTGGCACCCCGCAGAAATCATCCTTCTGGGACAAAGGGGAGCAACTCCATCCCACCCACCCGCGGCTTTTGCATCAGATAACCCCCACGAACCCAAAAACCTCAGCCAAGACCTTTCGCTGCCCCAGGGAAACTGCTGGGGATTGGGAGGATGTGGCCCCGCAGCCTGGCACCATCCCCACCCCAAATCTCCAGCTGCAGAAATACCTGAAGTTTTTTTTTTGGGGGGGGGGGATGAGTTTGGAGGGGTGCTGCTCCCAGCAGCCCATTTCAGGGGGGCAGCCAGGTTCTCCTTTACAAAACTGCTTTTTTAAAGGGTCTTTTGGGGGAGAGGTACCTGCACCGTAGTGGGGTTTTTTTTTTCACCCCAAACTGCAGCCCTGAGGAAGGGATCTGCAAATGCCCACGGGTGCCAGGGTAGGAAACAGGCACAGGGCTGGTGTGAAGAGCGAGGGAATGGAGGAGGATTTGAGTGCAAGGGGGGGGGTGAGAACCCTTATCCCATACCCACAGACCCCCACACACGTGAGCAGCTCCATGCCTGTGTCTGGCTTTCAGGCTGCAGTCCCTGGGGCTGAGCAAGCTCAGGAACTGGGGACAAACCTTTGTGAACTGGGGTCAACAACCCAGGAACTGGGATGGGAACTCCAGGAATCAGGAACTGGGATGGAAGCACCTGGAATAGGAATGGGAATGCAGGAATTGAACTAAGAGCAGAGATTGAGATGGGAAGCCCAGGGAGTGAGGTGGGAACCCAGCAATTGGGAACTCCAGGACACGGGATGGGAACACCAGAAGTGAGACAGCAATGGCAGGAAGTGAAACGGGGATCCAGGAACCAGGATGGGAATGCAAGAATCGAACTGAGTGCACAGAAATTAAGATGGATCCCCAGGAAGTGAGAATGGGAATCCAGGAACTGGGATGGGAACACAGAAATTGAACCGCAGGAAGTGAGACGGGAACCTAGGAATTGGGATTGGAAACTGGGAATTCAAATAGAAACCCTGGAATTGGGATGGGAACCCAAGAATTGGGATGAGAAGAGCCTTGGCCACAATGAGGCTTGCCCAGCCAGCATCTAGCAGCAGCAGCTCCAGGAGGGACACAAAGCACTGAGGTTTTGGGGAATGGGAAGAGCTCCTTAGGCACTGAGGTTTTGATTTGAGGTCGACGCATGGGGACGGTCATTTAGGGTGGCCCCAAGCCAGAGCAGTGCACAACGGGGCCACATTCACACACTGAGCAGCACCAGGAGCATCACTGCAAGAACTCTGATATGAAATAAGCAGCTCAAGAATTCATAAAAAAAGAAAAAGACTGTAAATCCCAAGTAGGAAACCAACAGCAGCACCAGCAACTGGCCCGTTCTTCGGGCAAAGCTTCGTCTCCTCGGGGCTCGGGATGTCCCTGATGTCACCCTCATCCTTTCCCCATCCTTCCTCACATCACCACTGCTGCAAACCCAATCCTGCAACCACTGTTTTTTGGAGAAAATTAAAATAAAAAGGCTAATAAAGGCGGCCCCAGCGAGAGCCAGGCTGTGGAATGAGGAGGGGGGTGAGGAGGGCTGTGAGCAGCACTGTGGGGTGACGGGGGGTTTGGGGTCTGTGTGGTGCTGGGGAGGAGCTGGGAAAGAGCCCCCAAAGACCCTCTGCACAGCATCCCCACCCCAGAGACCCATATGGGTCCCACAGCGCCGTGCTCCGTGGGGCTGCTTCTGTCACCAAACAAGGAGCATGCAATGGGGAAAAGTGTCCAACTCCTGTCCCCACGAGGTCCCCCACGAGCTCACACAGCTGGGAGCCAATTAGCCACTGCCACCAATTAGTGCTGATGGAGGTGTCCAACTCTGCAGCAGCACTTGGGATGCAGACCCTGGGGTGAGCCTGGATTTGTGGTACCACAGCACGGGGACACCGAGGGACGCAGCAGAGTCCCACTGCAATGCCACCTGGCTTTGGGGTGGAAGGGACCTTCAGGATCACCGAGTTCCAGTCCTAATGAAACACACTGCAATTCAATCTGGACAAAAGGCAGCAGAAAGGAGGTGTGCCCTGCTCCTGCTGAGCCCCAAAAGTGCTTCCGAAAGCCCCACAATGGGGATGAAGGCAGTGTGCAGTGAGGTGGGCACATCCCTGCCACTGCCAGCACCCGGCCTCACTGCATCCCCTGACCGCCCAGCAGCGCCAATGCACTGAGCAGATGGTGTGCATGGGAATGGGTGATTGCAGCACTTTAATTAGTGGTGCCATTAATCAAACCTTAACACAATCAGGGCAGCCGTCCTCCTTCCAGATGTGCTCTGCGGGTGGCTGACGTGGAATTGCTTTAATTTATACCCTGGGTGAGCCTGGAAGGTTGGGCTCAGAAAGGGCAACTGGGTGGCTGGGAAGCGAGCTTCAAGCATCCCTGTAGGGGGAGGGAGGGTAAACCTATAGGGAAAACCCAACCCCAGCCATAAGGGGGAGCAGCAAAATCCCCCCCCCTGCAGCGACCCAAATGTCTGCCTCACCCTGCAGCTGCTGAGTCCCAAACATGGTACAAAGGGATCCCAAGTAATTTCCTATGTAGGGTCGTGCATGGCTGCACCGGGGTTTGCAACGAGGCCACCAGGGAGTGCAGCACCCTGCCACCCTGACTGCTGATGGGACGGATGCCCTGCAGCTCTGTAACAGCACACACTGGTGCCAGCACTGCCTCACTGCCCTAACAACCACACCAGGGCACCCCCACAAGACCACACTCAAGGCTTTTGATAAAGATCTTACAAGGAGTGCACTTGGGGTTGGGCTGCTGATGTACCTATAGAACAGCCAGCGACCCACGACTGCCTCCCTCCCCTCCAGGAACCAAAACCCCGGAGCAGTTTGGGTGGGAAGGGCCCTCAGAGCCTCCCAACCCCATCCCTCCATGGGCAGGGATCCACAGGCCTGCGCCCACAGCCCCATCTGCAGCCTCAGGACCCACAGATCAGGGCAGCATCACAGTGCCCGTGCTCACAGTGAAGGCTTTCCTCCTGACGTCCAACTGAGGCCAAAAGAGGGGAGATTTCCAACCACACATGGCAAGCAGGGGGGCCCTTCTGCCACCTGTACTCACCCAGCCGTTCCTGCTGCTGTCTCTGGTAGGATGGGGCTGGAGTGGGGTCCACCAGCAGGGGAATTGGGTCCAACCACAGGTCCAAGGAGGGCACCCCTAAGGCGGGACACAACGCAGGAAGCTGCCGGATGCAAAAGAGCAAGAAAGGAGCAGAAAGCTGCATGGGGCAGAGGGCAGCAGCACAGCAGCAGCACTGTTGTGCATTTCCCCCCCAAAACCTCCAACCCTCACTGCTGCTCCCTCCCAACACCTCAAACCCAGAGGAAACCCCACGTTACGATGGACAGAGGCAGAGAAGAGAGAGGAGCCTTCCAATGAGACAGGTATTTATTTAGTTCAAGCGCTACGGATTCTCTTGTTGTTTCATATTATCAAACAGAGCTGAGGTACCAGTGACATTCCAACATGAAGAAAAGGAACCTTTTTTTTTTTTTTTCCCCCTTATACAATTTCTTCAACTACTTGTTATCAAGACAAAAAAGTGAGTAATGGACAGCTGCGTCATGTACTGTACAACAACCAGAGCGGGGAGGAGAACAGAAACAGAGCAGAAACCTTCACTGTCGTCAAAGTCATCACAAAGGAAGTCTGTTCCCTGGTTCTACTGGCCATGGCGATGGAGGAAAAGCAAAGGGAAACCCAAAAAGTGTGTGCCAGTGGGGAACAGGGAAACGATGGCCAACGTGGATTGGCTGAAAAGCAAAAGGAAGAAGAAAAGGCAACGGAAAGCAACCGAAGAGGCAAGATGGATCGTTTCTGCACAGTTCAGGCAAGTACAATACAGGAAAAGCAGCCAGGTTTCCTTCCCCTCGAGAGCTTCTTAGAAAGAAAGAATGATCCTTTGTCACGTATCATTGATGTTTATTTCAAGACATGCCACGTTAAAAAAAAAAAAAGAAACAAACAACAAAACAAAACGAAACCAAAAAAAAACCTTGCCTCTGATATCGCATTATAAAAGCACTTTACAGCTCATTCTGCCTTTGAAGTTCTTGTTGTGCAGAGTTGCTAGAGAGCCAGGGCAGGGCACGAGCCTGGCACTGGGAATGGAGAAGCCCAGGAGGTTACAGCCACTGCTGGTGCACGGGGTGGTGAGGGTGGTTCCCTTCCTTATTTCAGGGCAGAGGAGAACCAAGAGGCGCCCGGATGTGCAGCTGCTGGCGAGCAGCAATGCAACGCAGACTCAAGAACCCCTTCCTGCACTGGATCTCAGCCTTATTCGCCCAGCAAACAATGTATTTACAGTTGTGTTTATTAACTGACACAGCAACTTCACAATGACTAGTAAAGAGTAAAAGGGTGCACTTCTAGTGTGTTCCGTCCGTGTTTCTCGGGTAGATGCATCTCGCCCCATCAGCAAAGCTCTACACAGACCCCTTTGCAAAAATACCACCAAAATTACCCAAAAGAGTTTAAAAAAAATTAAGCAGAGAAATAAATATCAAAGAGGAACGGTTAATTAGAAGCCTAGTTCAACAGAAAACGAAGCGACTCGGATCGAACCAACCTCTACAGCTCTATGCAAAAAAAAGAAACCAGAACTAACCCAACTGGAAGACCCAACATAAAAAATAAAAAGCTAAAAAATAAAGGCATCCGTCTGCATCGCCTTAAGTTGGCTTCCATCCCACCCACCTCTCTGCCCCTCTGGCTCCCCGTGGGACCCCCATGAGACCCCACTGCAGTACGGCCGTGCCCGCCGCCCTCCCTCACGGCCTGGGAAGGCCGCCTCCGCTCCTTCCTCCTGCCCAACTCCCACGTCCCCATCAGCTCAGGCAGCTTTCCTTTCCAAACCTCCCCTTTCTTAACCATGGAAACGCCACGCTGACGTCCTCCCAGCGGCTGCAATGCCACGCTCCCACCTCTCCGCGCAGCCACCGCTTCGTTCCTTCTTCTTTTCTTCTTCTTCTTCTACGTAAAAGGAAAAAACGCTTCTTCAAAGCCATCTCAAGCTCCTCTCACATCTCCTCGCTCCCTGCGAGCGTTTTGCTAACGCGCACACATCCCTCCCATCCCCCAGATCCTTCTGCTTCCCATCATCCCCCCCTCACAAGACCCCACGCTCCAACCCCTCTGCAAACTACCTGTGCTACCTCTGCTCCAAGCACAGGAGCTCAGCTTTAAGCCACCAGCCGTGTGACTGCAGGGCAAGGGCAGCACTGGAGCTCTCTCCTCTGCTCCCCCCACAGGGGCAGACGCTGCAGGGACGGTTGGCAGCGCCCTTCTGCACGTACATCTCACCTATGTCCAACTCCAAACTTGCTCGGGGTTCCATCATTTCAAAGTGCAGTATCGTAACATATTAAAAAAAGGAACAAATATTAAGAAATTGTACCTATTTTTTCTTTGCTTTTTCTTTTTTTTTTTGGTGGGTTTTTTCTTTTTTTTTGTCTTTTTTTTTTTTTTTGGTCTTTTTAAGTTATAACTAGAATACGCCGGAATATTTTGGCTTTTTTTTTTTTCCTCTTTTTCTTATAAATAATGAAGACACCGACATTTTCTTTGTGTGTGTGTGTGTGTGTGTGCTTGTGAAGCTAATAGATCATCTCCACGAGACAGCCAGCGATGATGAACTGCAATACTTATTACTGAAAGGGGAAGGTTCAAGCCAATATTCACACTGCAGTCAATGAAGAGTAAAGGGAGGGAAAGCAGTGATGTTCTGGAGGAAGTCAGAAGCCACGCGGTATTAGCAGGAGCAGCCTCCTTCACTGACAGGCTGCTCTTGAGGCTTTTCCAGTTTGATGTCAATCACTGGGAAGGAGGAGTTAAGGCCAACAGATACGGCTTGGGCTGCTGCTGCTTCCACCTCCTCTCCTCCGGGGTTCAAGTTGCTCTTTACAGAGATTAGGAGGAGCAAAGGAAGGGAAAGAGCAAGAATTCATTTCAAGCGTTGGATCCATTGGGCTGATTTAGACCTCTAGGTATGCTTAAGAGGGCTCCAACGCTCAGCAAAAGCAGTTCAAAGCCCCCAAACCCTCTGTGATCTGTGAAAGAGCCTCTGGAAAATCCCCCACCGTTAATCCCAGGGGAGACAATCATTCAGTTCCTGCTATCTGCAGGCTGCAGGAAGTCAAATTCAAAGTGCCTTATTACTCTCCCATTTAGAAACTGGTGATGAAACTCCCTGATAGTGAAACTGTGTGTGCTTGTGTATCCTGCCACCATCCTCTTGTTAATGAAGATGGTTGCTCATTAACCTTTGGTGACCTGCCAAACAAGGGATTTTTGATCAGCTCCAAGGAGAACACTCAGAACTTGTGCCTCAGCACAGCCCCCAGGCCCTCTGCTGCCCCTCTGCTCTACGACGCTTCACAGGAGGTGTAGCTTCAGCCCTACATTTGCCCAGAGTGGTCTGAGGTTAAGAACCAGCATCAGTGCAGTCATAAAATCATAGAATGGCCCAGGTTGGAAGGGAGCTCAAGGATCACGAAGCTCCAACCCCCCACCAATGCAGGGCCACCAACCTCCCCATCTCACAGCAGCCCAGGCTGCCCAGGGCCCCATCCAACCTGGCCTCCAACACCTCCAGGGATGGACGGGGCATCACAGCCTCTCTGGGCAGCTGTTCCAGCCCCTCACCACTCTCTCTCTAAACAACTTCCCCCTGACATCCAACCTCCAGCTGCCCTCCCTCAACTCCAAACCATTTCCCCTTGTCCTGCTGCCATCTCCCCTTGCACAGAGCTGACTCCCCTCCTGTCTGCAGGCTCCCTTGAGGCACTGCAGGCTGCACTGAGGTCACCCCGCAGCTTCTCTTCTCCATGCTCAACAAGCCCAGCTCCCTCAGCCTGTCTTTGTAGGGAGGTGCTGCAGCCCTCTGCTCATCTCTGTGGCTCCTCTGCACCCTCTCCAACAGCTCCTTGTCCTGGGGGCTCCAGCCCTGGACGCAGTGCTGCAGATGGGGCCTCACGAGAGCAGAGCAGAGGGGGACAATCACCTCCCTGTCCCTGCTGGCCACCCCTCTGCTGATGGAGCCCAGGATCCCATTTGGAGCACACTGCTAGCTCATGTTCCGTTTTTCATTCACCAGGACCCCCAGGTCCTTCTCTGCAGGGCTGAATGGCTATGGGATCTCCATCCTTGGAGATTCCTCTATTTGCATGAGCTGGGTTCTTCCTCAGCACTTCAACATCAAGCCTTACTTGCCTCCATCCCCCTCCCATAAGCTGACCAAGGGTTGCAGGACAGACACCACCCCCCTCCTCCTCCTCCTCCCTTTGTTATTCAGGACCTGCATTCTCCTCACCCACGGTAACTGGCAGCGCTCTGCCACCACAGCTCTGCAGCATAAAGGATACTGTCTTCTCTACTTTTGTCTTGTGTGCTTTCCATTCCAGGCAAGGCAGCTGCCACGCGTCGGAAAAGCTGCAAAAAAACAAAAAACCAAGGAACAGATCAAAACAATTGCACTTCAAAGAGCACACCCCAGTTTGATGCAGCTCAAACAATGATTCAATACATCCTTCTGTACTATTTACACGGCTCACACCAAAAAGCCTGACACCAAATATAACCTTTATTCCTAAGAATCCGCAGACCACATTTGTTGTTGTTACTGAAGATGAAATGTTACCGGCTTCAGGCAGCAAACCTTCTGTCACCTTCTCTACTCTGGTTGGTACTTGGGATTTCCAGCTCAGATTGTCACAGCCAGACCCCAAAAGCTTCACCATGCCAGGTGGAAACCTGACCCTCATAACCCCACATTGCCACTACTGAGCAGTGCCTCGTCAAGGCAAACAACACCCAGCCTGCCCACACTGCCCAGTCTGCCATCAGCATCGGCCAGGACTGTGAGTCAGAACAGGGCATGCAGGTGAAAAGGAGCTCAATGCTCATCCAGCTCCAAGCCCTGCTGTGTGCAGGTCGCCAAGCAGCAGCCCAGGCTGCCTAGAGCCACATCCAGCCTGGCCTTGAATGCCTGCAGGGATGGGGCATCCACAGCCTCCTTGGGCAACCTGTGCCACTGCCTCACCACCCTCTGCCTCCAAAACTTCCTCCTCATATCTGCAATCCCAGAGCAATGGGGCATTCAGCCTCCTGCCTACTGAGCCCTTCCTTTGTGCCCCATAGATTCCAGCTCCTCACAGCCTGATAGAGGCTGGAAGATAAGGCTGAACAGGACTGATTCCCTCTCCTAACCTCCCAGCTTTGCCCCTTCCCTTCTTGTGGAGTAAAGCTCAGGTCTGAGGGAACAGCTCACCTGCTGCTCATTAGGGTTAACAAATGGTTGCCTAATTGGTTCTCACCTACAGAGAACAGCTCTGACTGTGCTGTTGTGTTGAACACAAACCCACCTTCTACAAAAAAGACAGAGCCAAAGTGGTATCACAGAATTGCAAAGGAACCGTAACAGTCCACGTCCACTCCCCACAGTGAGCAGGGATACCCACAGCTCACGTCTGCATCTCCACACACATGGAATTTTATACCATCCCAGACACACTGCCACCATGCATTTCATTATCAGCCATCCAGGACACCCAGTATTTCCAAACAGCTGACAGCTCTGCCATCAGTGTGCTACACCCATCCCACTGACAGCCACGGAACACTCAGTGCAAGCCTGACATCAGCCCTGGTGCCTTCAATGGACACCAAGATGTTATCTCAGCTCTTTCCTCCAACAACACAAAGCTACACCACTTACAACCCCCACAGAACTGAGCCAGATGCTCTGTCTGCTTGTATTCACACAATCATGGGTTGGCTTGGGTTGGAAGGGACCCTAAGGATCATTGAGTTCCAACCCCCAACCCAACCCCAGGCAGGGCCACCAGCCTCCAGACCTGCTACCAGACCAGATTGCCCAGGGCCCCATCCAACCTGCTCTTGTAAACGTAGAGACCTGAGCAGCTTTGCAGATCAGTGCTTTTTGCCATCAGGATGACCAGGGAAGTGACCATGATTCAATCTCACTTTGCTATGGAACACTGAAAGTTTCAGCACTGTGCTCAAACCCACGCACGCTCCGAAATCTCAGTGCTTTCTTTGCCTTTAGTAGAATCACAGGGGGAGGTTCAGAGTGGATATTAGGGAAATTTTCTTCTCCAGAAAGCAGTAATGCAGTGGCACAGTTGCCCAGGGAGTCCCCATCCCTGGAGTTGTTCCAGAACTGGGGGGATGTGGCACTGAGGGATGTGGTCAGTGGGCACGGTGGGGTGGGCTGGGGTTGGACGTGATGATCTCTGAGGTTCTTTTCCAACCTGAATGATTCCACCATTCTGTCCCTAAAACGGCTTCAATTCTCAAAACACTTCATATTCAATAATCCCAACTTCATTGAAAAAAAAAAAAGGCTTATTGGACAGCCACCAGGCTGCACTGCAGAACACACAACCACCACCCACAGCCCCGTTTGGAGAAGCCTATTGCTATGCTGTCAAGTAGATGGTAAAAACTGCTGCTTTCAGGCACTCTTTGCAGCACTGCAGGGAAGCTGTTAGACCTGCTGCCCCTCCAACACACAGCAGAGGAAGCTCCATGGCACCCACAAGGATCACCCGGCCCCACAGAGCACCAACCCCATGTCAGAGCAATCCTGGAGCTCCCCACTGCCCCAGGGACGCCCGTTCCAGTTACAAATGAGAACATCACTGATCTCTGCTCCGTGGATTGCTTAGACAACAAGCACTGAAGAATCACTGGATGGAACTGGAAGGATGGATAAACACCTAGTTATGTGATGGAAGGAGCAGTGGTACAAGAAGCTGCGTTCTCTCTCTGCAAGCATCTTCTACAGACCCCTGTTTAAAGGGGACCTTTTCCCTACCTTACCATGGTAATCTTCACTTTGAACCCAATTATCCAATGTTGACATCCAACATTTTTTAAGACTAACTAGAACAGAGAAATAGAAACGTAGAAGTCTAAAATCCCAAGTCCTGTGCATAGTGACAAAGCTTTGTCATCTATTCATGGTATCACAGAATGGTTGGGTTGGAAGGGAGCTCAAGGATCACGAAGCTCCAACCCCCCACCAATGCAGGGCCACCAACCTCCCCATCTCACAGCAGCCCAGGCTGCCCAGGGCCCCATCCAACCTGGCCTCCAACACCTCCAGGGATCACAGGGGCATCACAGCCTCTCTGGGCAGCTGTTCCAGCCCCTCACCACTCTCTCTCTAAACAACTTCCCCCTGACATCCAACCTCAAGCTGCCCTCCTTCAACTTTAAGCCATTTCCTCTTGTTCTGCTGCTTTCCCAGCTCCTCACATCAGGTAAACCACTCACAGGTTTCCTTTTCCAGCACTTAAGTTCTCTTTAAACAGTTCAGGGTCTGTTACTCATACCCAATGCAGAGCAAACATTCCCTGGTAAGTAGGGTTTGTCACAGGTAATGAATGGGTTCTCGAGAAGACAAACCAACCCATACCTTGCAACTTCCCACACTGCTTTCCTCCTTCCCTCTGGCTTTTATTGCTGAGCACAGCACCACACCGAACCCTAACCCTACTGATCCCTAACCCTAACTGCCCTGGGGTCAACTGGTCATGCTGGCAGGGCACAAGGAGCACCAAGTATTTGGCTCTGTGTACAGCCAACATTATTCTCATCCTAAATCTGAAACACAGCACCATTGCAGCTATGATGGAGAAAATCAACTCCCAGATAAAATCAGGCCACACACAGTGCTTTGTTGCTCCTATACTGCAGAATTTTAACCCAGTTCTTGGTGCAGAAGATTTAGGGGTGAAAAAATCATAGAATGACAGAACGGCCTGGGTTGCAAAGGAGCTCAATGCTCATCCAGCTCCAAGCCCTGCTGTGTGCAGGTCGCCAACCAGCAGCCCAGGCTGCCCAGAGCCACATCCAGCCTGGCCTTGAATGCCTGCAGGGATGGGGCATCCACAGCCTCCTTGGGCAACCTGTGCCAGTGCCTCACCACCCTCTGCTGAGTGAAAAATCCCCTCTTGGGGTTTTAAGGAGAGATGTGCAAAGTTTGGAGCAGGCTGTGCCTGGTTGAGGATGCTCACACAACATCTCTGCCCTGAAGGAAGGAAACGTGCCATTCCACAGACCCCTTGGCTGATGCTGTGTGCTTGGAGATCCGAGAAGAAAAAAGAACTGCTTTCATTCCTTGCTATTTCATTTCCCCCTTTTACAATACATATCCCCAAATACTGCCAATCAGGGATGCAGTAAATAGGGTGAAGGATGTGGGGGTTGTCTTAAAAATAAGTCAGATGATGGGAACCAACTGCAATTACTGCTTTTAAACCAAGCTGCTGACAGAAGGGCTCAATGTTTAAAATACAGTCATCCTTGCTTTGCATTATGATCAGGAATAAATCTGATGCCTTTAGCTGTATTTCTCCCTTAAATTATTTGACTAAAAAGAGAAATCTGGCAACTAGGAAAATCAACTTTCTTATTAACCTTCTGCTTATCAGCCACAGCACATGTGAACAAATGCAATTAGCAGAACTTTAGAAAGCTGACTTCTATTTGAAGACCTCATTGCTTCCCAGCGCCTCCAGGACCCAAGCCAGCACGTACCTCACTGTGAGACATCACAGGGACACACATAAATGCACGTGTTTGCACACACCATCACGTGGATGTGTATTTGTGCACGTGTACACACACACACACACACACACAGAACATGTCTGGGTGAGCACTCTGGCCTTTTTTTCTAAGGCTGGAATGAAATGCAGCCATCTGAAAAATGTAATCACACCAAGTTTGGCTTTCAGCATCCAACTCTGCTGACGAAGCCGGACAAACCCTCATCCCTCATTATTAATTTCAACTCATTTCCCAAACAGGGATGTGGCTCTGAGCAGCCTGGTCTGGTGGTTGGTGATTCTGCACATAGCAGGGGGTTGAAATTAGATGATCAACCCAGGCCCTTCTATGTTTCTATGATATGAACAGTGCCAGGCAGCAAATCCCTACCAGGTCAGAGTCGCAACAGAGCAGTTGGCACCGTAACACTCTGCAGTGGCAAGGAAGGGCCAGGAGGATTGCTGCCCTTATAGAAAAGCCAGGCAAGGAATCTGCCCCTCAATGCAAAGCAAACAATGGTATTTCCCTCATTCTTATTCCCTGAGGAAAGCAGCTCAACTCCAAGAGTGCTTCCTGCCCATCAGACAGACGTGAGTCAAAGGATGGGGAAAAGGGCCAAGCTGCTCCTGCAGACAGCTCTGGGAAAGGAGGGCTCCTCGTGGGGCTCCTTCAGCAGCTGCCATGAGAAAGCCTGCCTGCCAAGTGCCACACTCAGCCCATGGCTCTCGGACAGCAGAGTGTGCCAGGTTTGCTGGAAGGACATCTTAGGGGCTCTTCTCCCCCCCCTTCTGTTTACACAAGGCAGCAGAATGAACCCTGACATATTCTGGGCACGAAGGTTGCAGGCAAACAAG